ACTTTATAACTTAAAATGTATCGTTTTGTTAAAATTTTTTACTTCAAACTTAGTTTCTATTAGCCAATCATATTTTGAACGTCACAAAATGATCTACAAAAATTAACCAATCAAAATAAAAGCCCGCCCTGTTCCGTGCCAATAAGTAAATGAAAAAAGCACGGGTTGTTACATAAGACCCTAGCAACAAACATTTTTATAAGTATCAATAATTATAAATAATTATATGATTTTAAAATATAATTCATTTTTCGCATACTATCATTAAATTTGCATAATGAAAAGATAATAAACACAGATTTCAAAACCTTTAACTTCTATTTTTTTTTTTCAAATCACAATAACAGATAAACGTTTATCAACCCGGTTTATACATATAAAAAAAAATTAAGCAAAAAACTTTATTTTCAAAGTATAAATTATTTAAAGAATCTCTTTAGTCTCGATTATGACAACCTCATGAACATTTACTTAGATGTGAAATATTTCCATTATTAATACATTCATCACTTTGTCCGGTAAGAGTTTCAGAGTTGATAGTCTGTTCTTTATGATTTTTTGAGCTGGAATTTATATTAGAATTTGGATTTGGATTTGAATTAGAATTTGAATTATCAACTAATGAATTGAAATCATCTTTCCACTTTTCATTTATAAGGAATAAGATCATGTTTCCCACTCCTCCTAAATTACCAGACACCTCAGTTAAAGCATTCATCCAAATTGTATCATACTAAATAAAAGAATTAAATAGAAAAAAAAAAAATAAAAATTAGGAATTTATTACAACTAATAATTAATTAAATGACGAAAAGAATATGACACATACACCTAAAATATGGCCCACAGCATAAAATATTGTAGGAGTCCATTGTAAAAGGAAAATTAAAATATAACCGGTAATTTTTCTCGTAACAATTATTTCCACACGACTGAGTTTTGATTGAGTATTAATATTTTGAACAGCTTTTTGCTGAAAATTTACTTCACGTAAAGTTGCGATATAGCAAAAAAGTGTGATTAATATTATCGTGTTATTTATAATAATGAGTATTATAGGAATTGCTGAATTGATATGATTAGCATTGCACCTATTTAAAAACGAAATTAAGGTTAGAATGATAAATATTTTTAAAAATAAATTATAAAATTAAAAACATACCAGAATCCACCAGGACCAAAGCTTGGAACACCAATCAAAGTTAGTATAAAGGATATTAATGAGATAATTGCAAATAATTTGTAATCGTATTTTCCCAGATTGATATACCATCTTTGACATGTTCGAAAGTAAGTTAGGAGCGCTAGAGATCCGACTAAGGACATGTTATTTAAGACACCGAAAAATAATAATCCACCAACCACTTTACAGGTAATACCCAGAAATGTTTCACCATTGCTGAACGTGTACTGAGTAACAAAGGTAGAAGTGCGTTAGTGAGTATTAATGAGGTTAATACTTGATATTTACAATACATACCAGATATATCAAGTTCGCACAGCATAAAAATGAGTCTAATTAATTTGGTATGATTGATAATAATTTAATTAATTAAATAAATCAGTGCTGTTAAATTTGTCTTTTATTATATTTCGAGTCGTTTGAAAGATCATTTAAGACTTCTTTTTTTTTTTTTAGGTCATTTAACAACACTTGGTTTTAATAGAAATATAGGAATAAATGAATTTTCTGATATCATAAATTTTCAAAATTAAATCTCTGAAAACTATATTACCGAAAAAATATCTTTTTTTCGTCAGGAAAACATTTTACCGATTATAAAATAGTAATTTTAATTTAAATTTAACCAACTCATTAATCAGTAAAATGTTTTTTTTTACTGATGAAACGAATGTCAAGGATATTATTCCAGCGAAATAAGTTTGATATCTTGAAAAATAACATACCAGTAATCGCAATATACATGGGAACTCTGAAAGACATTGATAAAGGTCTTTTTGTCACTCTCCATCGATTTAATGTTCTGTAGATGACATATATAGAACAAATGGTATTTAATGTTACTGCGGCTAAACCAATTGATACAACTATGTTTATGGAAGGAGGATTAGTAGCGTCACTCATATTAAATGAATCGATTTATTAGGTGGTTATTAATAGTTCTATCGTTGTTTGGCGCCAAAGAAATCACCAATACGCAATAAAACAATAGAAATTCCTCTTTACATGTAGAAGCCTTTTTCTAAATATCAGGGTGCTGAAATTTATTGCGTAATATTTTAGGGGTGGAGTTATATCAATATCTTACGTTACACAAAGTAAATTAGTAAATCAGATTCTTTTTAAATTGGCCAATCTTATGCGGGGGCCTTTATAGTAAATGGATATTACGTAATATATTTCACAGCCCTTATTGAAGCAATGAGATATTAGCTAATGAAGCTAATGCTGGTTATAAATATTACTAAGAAATGGTATTGGTTTAAGGAAAGTATAAAGTATAAAGAAAATGTTTAAAAAATTAAACGATTAAATTTAGTTCATGAAGTGAAAATGAAGACAAATTCGAAATTAACGGGAAGATAAATATATAATTTGGAAACCGAACTATCAAAAAATAACTAAAAGAATGATAAATACTCTGCATTTTTATGTACAAATATTATTAAGATCATTATGACTAAATATTACATAAACGGCAGATTATTCGAAAGCACAGATCATTATTTTAAGAGCCAATTATTAGTCAACTATTGATTGTGCAATATTTTAGTAAGTAAATTAATTTCGGGGTTATCTTTTTCAGCAAAAAATTAACCTAATCCTTTAGATCCAGTGGATTTTAAAGAGATAATGTATATTGTGCAGAATTAAAATTAATTCACTTAATAACCAATGCTTCGGAATACATTTGAATGCTGCCAAGCGAAAACCAGGAATTGTGAGTTTTCCGAAATTAATTTTACAGAAAAAAGTGATTTAACACACCATATAATTTTATGTTGTGCTTAATTTAATTTATCAGGAATCGGATCAGAAAGCGGAGCCGTAAAAATCGAAATTGCCGGTTTTTTGCTTGGCAGCACTCATTTCTTAAAAGAATAATGATATTTTTAGATATGACACCCTATTAATATATATTTATAAAAATGCTGTCATATCGGAGCTTTATGGTTTGGAATTTCTACTATTTTAGACATTACCCCGGCCGAAAAATGCAAATTAGGTTTAAATTATAAGTTACACAATTTAATTATGTATACATGCCGTAGAAATTAGTTTCGACTGCGTCGAAAGTATTTAGGCACCGATTTTTCGATAAAAATAAAGCCGTAGGTCATAATTTATGCCGCAAATGCAGAAAACCAAACCATACATCATAATCTAAATTAATTGCCGCAATTTGTCTTATAACAATCTATAAAATCGAATTATTCAGTATTTAAATAAAATATACTTCTTTGTTTTTATTACATCACTTAAAATCACTACATAAATCGATAATATATCAATTATATTTTATACTTTATTACTTTCGGCACTATATCAACATTTATGTCATGACTTTAGGCAATGGTTATAAGTTGCGGCATGAATTTTAGATTTAGGCATTTGTTGCATGGCTACAATAATTTCTACGGCATGTATAATACGTACCATACATATATACTGAAAAATTTTTTGAATGATAATATTGTAGCAAAAGTACAAAAATCCGAATGTTATTTAAAACCAAAAATTTGTACCCTAAGACGAAGTAAAGATTTAAACCCAAAAGATTCAAAGCAAGGTTGTGCTCCGGATTGTTCCGAAGACCACTCATTCGAACAAATTTCGACTTCGTTAATACCAACAATATCGATATAATGATCTGTTATAAAGTCGAATTTTCCTTTACACTACTCTTTTAGTTGTTATTAAAAAAGGATTATATTTTTTATTTACTGATTCTACTTCAAATTTTATATTGTCCAATGGTTACGCAACAAAACATGAATTATATTATATTTGGTTAATCTGCCAAAAGGTCTTTAAATAACTTATCCGAATTTAAATTTCGCAAGAGAGATTTTAAATATCTTTTAGCATTACTTTAATTATTGTAAATAAGGATAACTGCGTGGCATGCGATGCCGCGCAGGACCGGTACGATCAAGTGTGATATGTAAAATTCAAAATATATATATATAGATTATCACGCTAAAACCAGCATAACAGTTAAATGGAAGTGCGATTAATGGATGCGCAGTACAGCTCCAATAATGTAATTATGTGGATTAAATGATACAAGGTTACTAAGGACATTGTAAATCTATAAGGTCGACTTGATGATGTGAACTTAATGAGATGAAATCATGGAAACGAGGTTTTCCTTATATTAAAATTAATGCTTTACTTTTTATATATTTTAACTATCAGTATGAAAGCGAACACGTTGAGAGAGATGAAATCAGTCGGTCAATCATTTCGCAGCAATCTGGTCACCGACAAACAGAATTTATGGCAATGAAAATCGAAAGAGGCGTGTTATATTTGGACGATGGTTAATAAACGAATGTATGTAGGTTGCAAGACATGTTTATATGACTTAGGAACTTTATTATTTAGGTAAAATGTGAACTATCGTTTCTGAAGGGCCAGAAGGCCCTTGTTTATAATTGTTAATTCATGTATTTACATTCCCTGGAATCATCTATATATCAATAAACCCAATATCGGCCTTATAGCCAGTATTACTAAGATCCGCCATTTCACCCAAATTATCCTAATCTTCCGGATCTGGCGGTGGTTGGGAAACCAAAATTAGGATTTACCGAGTAGGGTGTCCAGGATTATGCGAATGCATAATCTGCCCACCTATACAATACTGATCTGCAAAATACTTGCGGATGCGTCGCATAATCGGGCAAAAAACGCATCCATATCACATGTCTCGAATATGATTGGTTGACGTGGATACTTGGAGTGTGTTATTTGGATGAGGAATAAATTCCGAAAAGTTTCGATGTAGAAAATGAATAAACCTAAATTACGAGCATGGTTGAGGTAAATTTTTTAGTAAACAAACGAAAATTTCCGAAGGATAAGAGTAAATTATGTATAAAATAAATCGCATCCTCTATTTAAATATTTCGCATAAATTTATAATTATTTCGCATCCATCGCATAATTGACCCCAATTGCATCGCATAATCCTGGACACCCTATTACCGAGTCACGTGCCTTCCGTCAGGTTACGTCACAACGTTTGAAACTACTTTATGACATCAGAGGCTTCACGCTATCGTGTTGGCCTCAAGTCAACATGCAGACTGCCTCATATTCTAATTTAACAAGCGTAGCACATGTAGGCGGCTTCGCCGCTATGCTTTGGTATTGAGATTAGATTTTTTTAGAGGTTCAAATTAGATATTTTATATGGTATGTGATGTATAATGTAATGTGTGTATTTAATGGTAAAGTTGATAAGGAAATTTTTTTTATCAGATTTAGGAATTACGTGTATAGATTCATTAATATATGTAGCTTATGTTATAAAGGTACTAACATTTTATTTTTTTTAAATTTATTAGACATAAATATGTGAAAATATAAAAAAGTGTTAAATGATTACATTGTAAAGCGCATAGAGATTTGTTAGTTATAAATGTTAAGCATTGTACAATAAATATATATTTTTTCTTTTTATAGTTTACTATTATTAGGGTAAATTTGGTTTCAAAGATTTAATAGCAAGCGAAGCTTTAAATTTTAGTTAAGTAAGCTTTTTTTTCATTCATTTATTTAATTAATTTACCATTAATGTAAAGGATCAAGTTTTATAATAGCCTGTTAGTACGAATGGCTTTTGTTGAATGCATGCACATTAATTTATTCTGAATTTATACGATAAAAATTTTTAAACATAAAATATAAATAACAATCAAATGCACTGTAAGTATTGTACATTTTTAAATTATACTAGCTTTCTGCCCATGTTAACGTCACAGGAATTTTCTTGAAAAATTGTTAAAAAATTCTATTACAGAACTTGCTTCGGGTAATCAAAGTATGTGTTAAGTTAGTATGCGTCGGAATTATCGTGACTCCAACTCCTACCATAAGCTACAGTAAACCTTACTATTCCAGTGATAATAGATTGTAGTTAAGCCTGTATTTATATTAGAATTATTGTAATTCCTCTCATGAGTTGCTACAAGAAATTCTGTTACAAAGCTCACTCGCTATTCTGAAAATCAAAAATGTAGTGAGCTAATTTTGTATTGGAACTATTGTAATTTTATAAAGAGTTGGTATAAAAGCAACAACTGTTTGTAGTTAAAGTTGAGTTAGTTGGTATTCAATTATTGTTATAAGTTGCTGTATAATATTTTATTACAAAATTTACTTGTCATTCTAGTAATCATAATATGTGATGAATTGGTTTGCATTGGAATTATCATGATTTTCATCATGAGTTACTGTAAAAGAACTTGGTAAAGAATTGCTATTCTAGTGAGAAATAATATGTAGTCAAAGTCGAGTAAATTTTATATTGGAAGAGGATATAATTACGTGTAAATAGGGGTAGCTTCGCCACCCCAACAAGACAGTTAATTTAGTGAAAGAAGCAAGAATCCAATTCCCCCTCCCAGAACTTTACATTTCCATAACAACTATCATATTTACTAGGAAAATAGAAACTATTTAAAGTAGCATAGCGGGATGTTTGTTTGATTAGTTAAAATTAGACTAAATATGATTGGCAACGATCCTTTTTTTTATACAGTCAATTGTAATTTTTAAAGTACTTTTATAAGTAAAAATCGTCGTGTCATATGAGAAGTTTTATTGTTTTTTAACCTGGATACAGTGGGATACAAAAGTTTCAAGATCTAGATGAGAGGTAAAGATTTTAAAAGGTCAGAAGGTAGTTTGGCGACCTAAGCAATTGGTGAGTAAAAAGTTGAAAGATTTTGTTTCAACTAGTTTTGCTACCTAATAAAAAAAAAAAAACTATTCAAACTACATTCTAAACTGTCTTTATTTTTTTGTTATATTTATTTAGGTTATTAGTTTGTATATACAATGTTTATAGTGGTAGTGGTTAGAAATGTTCGCGTATCTTAGTATCAAGTTTAATA